CCTCTCCCCTTTCCCCTCTCCCCCCCCCTCTCTTCCAGCCACACTGGCCACCTCGATGTGCCAGGCACAATCCAACTTCAGGGTTGGTACTTGCTTTCCCCCTGGAGTTTCAGAGCCTCACACACTTGGCTAGCTCCTTACAAGTCCCTTTGTGTTACCTCTCATAGTACTCTGTGCTTTTCTTTACCACAGTCTGTAATTATTAGTTTATATGCTTATTGACTGTCTCTCCTGGTAGACTAAAGGATGTGACCATGACTTATTCATGCTGTACACATATCGCTTAGAGCACTGCTGAGAAACATTTATTGAGGAAATAATAGAAACAACATAGCATGAGACTTTTTACTCTCATTTTACCCTTCTCTGCTCAGAATCTTCCCATGACTTATACCTCATCCAGAGTCAAAGCTGAAGTTCTCACAACCTAGTCTACAATGCCCTATGTGACTCCATTACCTGCCTCTTTGACATCACCTCCCACCATTCTCCCTTGCTCATTCCACTCAAGCTCCACTGACCTCCTTGCTGTTCTTCAAACACATTAAACTTTGTCCCACCCCAGAGCCTTTGCATTGGCTGTACCCCCTGCCTGGAATTTTCTTCCCCCAGTTACCTGCATGGCAAATTCCCTCACCTCCTTCTCTTTATTCCAGTGTCACTTCTTCAATGAGGTCTTCTCTGACTACCCTACTTATAACAGCAAACTTCCTTCCCCTACTGGCACTCCTAATCCCCTCATCCTGGTCTACTTTTGGTTTTTCCATTTCACTTATGATCACCTTATGTTATACTAGATAACTTTATACATATGGTCATTGTTTGAAATCTGTCTCCCTTGCTACAATGTAAGTTCCACAAAGATGAGAATCTTTGTTTGGTTCACTATAGTTAATAACCAATGACTAGAACAGTTCCTCTTAATGGATCTCTTTGGGCTGGGAGAGTGGGGACCATAATTACTTTGCTACCTAATCTAGTGGGGCAAGGTATGTCATCCCAGTAGGGGCAGCTGGAATGAAACTGACTCCAGGACTCTGAGTGAAGGGAAAAGGAAGAAAAAGCATGCCAGGCAGAGGGTAAAGCCAGGGCAAATAGATAGCATCCCAGCCTCTCCCTAAGGGTACCACCTGTGTCTGGACCCCCTCTCCTTTCTGTGTCTTTTGTCTCCACAGGTCAGTGCAGCCCGGGAGGACCCCATGGGTGGGCAAGAGCTCAGGAGAAGGCCTGCCCCCCTTCCTACCCCTACATCCCAGGTCTCCACCCCTCAAGCCAGGAGACCCTTAACTGTCTTTGATATATATATATATATATATATATATATATATAAAATATAGATATCTATTTGTCTGTCTGAGCCCTGCCCCCACTCCACTCCCCTAATGCATTAAGACCCCAATCTTAAGTGGGCTCCTCTCTTACTCCTAGCCCTTCCCCTGCATCCCTTGGCCCCTCTCTGTTCCTTGGCCCTGTGCCCTGAGGTTGGGGAGGACTCTGAAAGGGGGACAGGGAGGAGACAGACCTAGGTTGTGTGGGGTGGGTGGGCGTGACTTCAGACTCTCTGACTTCTCTCCTTCCCTTTCTCCCAACATTGGCCTTGATTCCTCCAGCAATGCTTGAACAGGGTCCATTACAGAAAATATAACCCTGAGAAAGGCAGAGATTGGGGGGCTTGGGACCCAAGGTGGTCTTGGAGAGGAACTCTGGGGTGAAGGGGACTAGTAAGCAGGTGGGTTGGGTTCCAGACATACTGGAAGTGGAGAGGGGTGCCCTAGAGCATTCTGGAGTGGAGCTTGGAAGGAGGCTGAGGACATGGTTCTAGAAAGGGCAGATCTTTGAATGAGGCAGTGGGTGGGTCCCAGAGTGGCAAGGCTTGGAGTAGGACTTGGTTCTATGGAAGGGGTGCGACTTGGGGGCTTGGGGACAGGGTTTGGGAGAACGCTGAGAGTCCTAGAAGGGGTGGGGCTTGAACCGGGCAGTGGGTAAGTCTCCAGGGTGGCGGGTCTTGGACTGGGACCTGAGTCCGTGGAAGGGGTGTGGCTTGGAACATTCAGGCGACTGAGCTGGATTCTAAGAGGGACAGGAAAGAAGGGGGATTCAGGAATGGGCCGAGCATGGGTGAGGGTGTGGTCAGGATTCTAGAGGGAGTGGGGCTTAGAGTGGCGTGTGCTTGATGGTTTCAGAAGGGACAGTGAAATGGGGCAGTGAAGAAAATGTTCTAAAATGGGCAGGTTTGGCAGTGGCTAGGGCCTGCTGGATGGGTTTTTTTAGGGGTAGAGGGAAATATTCCTGGCCAAGGCTGGGGACTGAGGAGTCCTGGGGAGAGTGGAGAGGTATGGCTTGGAGGGTAAGGGGTGGGATCCAGAGAGAAGTACCCACACACCCTTGCCCACCCCTATGACGTGACAGCTAGGTAATCAGAGGACGGAGCCAACGGGTCTGTGGGGCCAGCCTACTCCTCTCCCCCTTTTCTCCTGACTCCTCCTCCCTCCCTCCCTCTACACCCCCACCGTCCTGGGGTGGTTGGAGGCTTGGTCTGGACCCCCTATTCTACACCTTCTGCTGTGTCTGTGACGTCAGTAGTGCCTGTGACCGTGTGTTGCCATTTTGTCTGGCTGTGGCCCCTCCCTCTCCCCTCCAGAACCCCACTCTTTCCCTTGCCCTTCGGTATTGATTGAAGACTCCCTCCCCGAGGAAGAACAACTATGATTAAATCTCCTCCCTTAAATAAACTCCTCAACCACCTAGTCCATCCGGCTCGGACTTCTCAGTGCGTTTTTTGGGGGGGACACAAAGCGAGGATGGGGGAGAGGAGGCGAGAGGAACTCCGCCCCCGACCTGCTGTGCGCCGTTCAAGTCAGCCCACCATTTTCGGCCCCTCCAACAGTGTTTGGCAGAGCAGCATCCTTGGTGAAGCCTCATCTGCCCATCATTCTAAGTCACCCTCTGAGGAGCCCTTCCCTGTGCCCCACTACAGGCCTCAGAAAGCCCTGTCTTTCTAAGGTTCATTTCTAATTTTGGTCCCTAAGCCACGTGCCTTTCCAGCCCTGTCTTCAAATCCCCCAAGGGGTTCCAATAGGACCCCATACTTCACAGGGAGACTTCCCTCTACCCACTGCATCGTATTCTTCAGACCCTGCTTTCTCTCCATTACCTAGTCTACGCCCCAGCTGGAAAACCGGGAGACAGGCTAGGCCGCACCGCCAGTAGGTGGGGCGCCGGGGTGACTCCTTAGTTCACACATTCCCTTTAACCCCTCCCTGGCTCCTCCCCTGGGGCAAGGAGAGGCGGGAAGTGATAGGGATGTGCGTAATGGGGCGGGAAATCCCCAGCTCCCATGATGAAATTCCCAGCTGATCGCCACCTGGCTGAGCCTAATTAGTTAGAGACCCAGGCCCTGCAGAGTTCTGACTGCGGGCTGGGGACCCTCTCCTCCCAGCCCCGAGGCACAGCAAAGCCTGAGAACACCAACGAGAGGCTCCCAGCTCTGGGAATGAGGTCAGGGAAAGGGATATATAACTGGAGAGAGAAAACTGGGAGCAAGGGAGGGAAGGCTTTAAGACCTATTTCTCAGGATTTAGTGGGGATGACATCTGTAAGGATGGGGAGGGAGATGGAAAGAGGGCATGGGACCTGGCCAGTGATTTTAACCTCCTCCCCACAAATCTCAAATAATCCTGGCTTTGAAACAATGGGAGCGGGGGCATGTGGGGGTGTATAAGACCTAGCTCTCTGATTGGGGCGAGAGAGTACCAGCTGGGGCTGCACTGGAGTTGGGGACCATTCTTGCAGCATTCATCCGGGAGAAACAGCCCCTCGGAACATCACCAGTGTGGAGGGGTCCAAGAGGTAGCTTTAACCCTCCCCCAAATAAACATCCGAGATAAATCAACCCAAAGCGCCCATAAAAGTTCCCTAGCGCACCACCCCTTGCAGTCAGGTCGCCACTTCAAGCCCCCCTCCCCCACTACAGAGCCCTCAAGCCCTAGAATGTCCCGCGAAAGGCCACGTGGCACCTTGGGGTTCTGGAGCCTTTGGCAATAGGGCAGGGGAGCTCTCCTGCACCGCGCTCCTGGGCTGCGTGCCCTTCACCTCTAGGCAGGGGGCGCCTTGGCCCTAGAGAGACAACTTGCCCAGGGGCCGGCGCGGCGAGGCATGCTCCTCCCCCGCCGGTTTCAGATTTACGGAACAGAGCTTCCAGGCAGGACGCGCAGTAGTCTGACGGCCGCGAGGATTCCATTCCCCTGATCCGGCCCGGCTTGACCCTGTCCGGGCGCGCCATGTTCGCGCGTGGGTCCCGAAGGCGCCGCTCGGCGCGTGCGGTGAGCGAGACTCAGGGCAGCGGCGGGGGTCAGGGGTAAACTGAAGCCCAGGAGAGGGGGCTGGGGCTGCGGATAGCGAGGAGGTGCTCCACGGAGGGTCTGGGAATCCCCGTCCCCAGAATTCCCAGAGGGGTTGGGGCTGCTGGAAGCGTGTGGATGAAGGAACGTGAAGATTTGGGGGACCACGCTCCCTAATCCCCTCCCCGCACACTTTTATCAGCACCCCAAGGACCTGGTGGGCTCCCCTCTTGTGTGAATTATGGGAAGGGATTCTGAGGGCCAAAAGATTGGATCTCCCAGTCCTGGATTAAACAGTGGCCTTTTGAGCTTCTAAGGGAAGGGACCGCCCCCTGTACCTTGGCTGAAGGTGAGCTGAAGAGTGAGGTGATGCCAGAACAATGAGGGTCAAGGGATTGGGATTTGGGGGGAAAGCTTCCAGGCTTTCACTTGAGCGAGGGAGTCTTTGAGTTCCTAGGTAGGAGGGTCTCACAGTCTCTCTCTTCCTTTGGAGGGGGTCTCTAGGTGGGATCTGTGTTTGGTGGTGCAGAGGAGTGCATAGACCTAGGGTATGAGGAGTAAGGCTAAGGCTTCTTGGCGTTGGGGTTTCTGAATGGATGAGGGGCCTCCTGAGGTCCTGGAGGAGGGTGTCCAGTTCCTTGAGTATGAAAGGGTGAGCTCGCGTTTGGGGGAGGGGTTGATGTGTGACTCCCATGTAAGGATGGGGTCTTAGACTCCTACCCTGTGGAACTGGAGTGCTACTGGCCTCGTGGAGAAGGGGCCGAGATGAGGCCTGGGGGAGACACCCAGATTAGGGACTCTGTGCTCTGAGTAGGGAAAGTACTGAGTTCTGGGGGAGGTGTTTGATGCCTGGAGGAGTCAGAGGCTGGGGGGTGTCCAGGCTGGGTGGGGGGAGAGTCTGAGGCTGGCCTGGGGAAGAGAATCCCCTGATAAGGGGGCATATAGGGAGGTGGCCTCAGTTCCCCCGCCTCTACCACTGTTGTGTCCCCCACTCCCCCACCCCCGCGCTCCGGGCGTTGTCCCAGCCTGCCCAGCGCTACCCTGGTGGGACAGGCCCCAGCGTGCGGTCGCAGGCCTTGGAGTGGAGAGGCAGGCGTTGACTTCTCCCTCCCCGCCTCTGCGCCTCGCCTGGTCCCGCGTCTGCCCCCGCCCACTACAGCCTCCAGGGGCAGAGGACCCAGACCGCGGTCAGCCCTGCAACTCCTGCAGGGAGCAGTGCCCCGGCTTCCTGCTGCATGGCTGGAGGTAGGTGACCATCCCAGGGTCTCGCCTTCGGCAGGGCCCCGCCCTCAGGGGACACCCCCCCCCAGAGACTTAGGCCACGCCCATAGGCTTGAGAGGGGGTCCACAGAGGAAGCTCTGTTGGGGAAAGAGCTTGTATCTCCTCAGAGCCCTGCCCCCCGACTTATTCCCTATTGTCCCGTTGTCAGGAGAGCTCTACCCACGACACTGCCCCAGACTTGTCCTACCCAAGCTTGAGTCCCATCCCTAGGGAGATCCTTGGTCCTGGGCTCTGAGCACCACCCACTGACCTCCAGCCACCTTCTTGGACTAGGAGCTCCTCTCCCTGACCCAGTGCCCTCTCCTCCTGCTGTAGTCCTGTACCCAAAATCTCCCATAACATACCACGGACAGAGCCCTCTCCCCAAGTTCAGAGCCTCAGCACAGGTTAGAGCCCGCCTCCAGGGAAAGTTCCCCCACAATGTCCAGAGCCAGTCCTGAGGGGAAGCCCCTAGCTATATAACTCGTCTCAAACTCACAATCTCGCCCCTACTCAGGCCCAAGTCCCAGAGTTGAAAGTTATGGGACTGCCTCGAAACCCCACAGCCCCACCCCTTCACCCCCTGTGCCCAGGCCCAGAGTCCTTTAGTGGTGATAATCTTCATGCCCCTGCCTCTAAGTTGAACTTACTTGGGCTGCCAAGGGATCAGAGTGGGCTACCCCTTAATAACCAACCCCCATGCCGGCCTCCTCAGAAAGATCTGCCAGCACTGCAAATGCCCGCGGGAGGAGCATGCTGTGCACGCGGTGCCTGTGGACCTGGAACGCATCATGTGTCGGCTAATCTCAGACTTCCAGCGCCACTCCATCTCTGATGATGACTCGGGCTGTGCCTCAGAGGAGTATGCCTGGGTGCCCCCTGGTCTCAAGCCAGAGCAGGTGACCAGAAGGCACCACTCACTCTTGTTCTCTAGTAGGTGCACACACAGGCATGAACACACACACTCAGGTGGAACTCTATTTCTGGGGCAACACTAGGGTGTGTGGTCCGACTGCATCTGTCTTTCTGACCCCTCTGTGATCAGGGAATCACAGTGATCACTGGGCCAATTTCTCAGGGCCTGTTTCACCCACTTCTATTCTACCCCTCGCCTCAGGGCTTATCCCAGCACTTCATTCACCACATCTCCGTTGATTAATTCATTCAACAGTTATTGAGTGCCTACTGCATGGCAGACACTGTTCTAGGCACTGATGACACAGCAGTGAACAAAACAAAAATATATATATATGCCCACATGGAGGTTAGATTCCCGGAGGGAGCAGCAGCGAATAAACAAACCTGTAAAAATATGTCTTACATAAAAATATGTAAGGTCTATTAATTTTTTTTAAAAGGCAGGGAAGGGGAGATGGAGAGAGATTTTATCATTGTAAATAGGGTGCCCACGTAATACTCTGTGAGAATATGATGTTTGAAATTCCTGAAGGAGATGAAGAGTGAACCACACAGAAATCCGAAGTTAGAGAGATCCAGGGAAAGGGAATAGCTAATGCAAAGGCCCTGAGACAGGAGTGTGCATGGTGTGTGTGAGGAGACCAGTGCAACCGGAGCAGAGTGAGTAGAGAAGAATGGAGGTGAGGTCAGAGAGGTGGCGAGGGGCAGGGAAAGGACTTGGACTTTGAATGAAGGAGAAACCACAAGAGAGTTGTGAACAGAGACAGGATGTGATTTGTCTTAGGATTTAACAGGATCCCTCCGGCTGCTGAGTGTAGAACAGACTGCAGGAGTGTGGGTGGAAGCAGGGGACCAGTGAAGGGGAGGCTACTGCAATAGGTGGCTGATGACAGCGCTGGCAGTGGAAGTAGTAAGCGACGGTCAGATTCTGGTTATAGTTTGAATGTGGAGCTGCTGAGAGGATTTGCTTGTGGGTGTGTAAGAGAGAGGAGTCAAAGATGACCCTAAAGATGAATGGATTAACTGCTATGGGTCAGGCCAAGGCAGGAGCATTTTGAAGTCTAAGAGCGTAAGTTTGGTTTTGGCATCTGGATTTAGAGATGCCCATTAGACATCTGAGTGGGGACATTGCCTGGAACCCAAATTGAGAGGTCATAGGGCTGGAGGCATGCATTTGTGAGGTATTAGCCACAAGATGGTATTTATAGTCATAAGGTTGGATGTGATTCCCAAGCGAGTGAATGGAGAAAGAGGCAAGAGGACCAAGGACTGAGTCTAAGGACCCGCCCACATTTAGGGGTCTGCTAGTTGAGGAAAAACCAAAAGGACAGAGAAGGATTGGCCAGTGTTTCCTTTGGGTAGCAGGAAACTCAGGATGGTGTGGTGTCCTGGAAGCCAAGGAACAAAGTGTTTTCCAGGAAGAGAGAGTCATTAGCTGTGTCCAGTGCTACTGATGGGTCAAGCTGGATGAGACTGAGGCCTGAACAATGACTTTAACAATGTGGATGTCATTGAAGTCTGTGACAGGAAGAGCTTTAGAGGAAGGGCCGGGAATGAAGGGGCAGGGAAGGCTGATGAATGGGGTCTGGAAAGAACGAGAGGCGAGAAAATGGAGACAGTGAGTGCATATAACTCTTTTGAGGAATTGTGCTGTAAAGGGAAAGAGAAAAGGAGAGCAACAGCTGTAGGGAAAAGTGGGGTCAAGACATGAGAGAACTCTTGGCATGTTTGGGAGGTGATGAGAATGATCTGGCCTTTAGGAAGAAGAGATAGAAGGAGTCAGTAGAAGTTTCCTTCTGATGATTTTAATTTTCCCAGAGAAGTAGAGATCTATCCCACTGTATTCCAACTCACTCCTAGTCTCAATTGTTTTCTCTCATCCTCCATTTCCTCCCAGGTATACCAATTTTTCAGCTGCCTCCCAGAGGACAAGGTCCCCTACGTCAACAGTCCCGGGGAGAAATACAGGATCAAGCAGCTGCTCCATCAGCTGCCCCCACACGACAGTGAGGTGAGGAGAGGGAAGACAGGAAGGGTGGGACAGGTAGGGGGCACAGCCTGGGCAAATGCTGGGCAGCTGGAAAGAAATGGGCAGGATCAGAGGAGGAAAGTTGATCTGAGGTGAAAGGTGTGGACAGTCAGGGGCAATCAGGACACTCCTTAGCAGAACCACAGCTGGGCCTTGGGAGAGGGCAGGGGTGGGTATTTCAGACAGGAAGCACCATTATACAAAGGCCTAGATAGAAGTAAACTTTGAGTGTGGATGAAATTTCGAAGAGGGTTGGGGGGCAGACATCAGAGGAGGAGCCTGGACGACCCCTGCTACCCTAGGCACAGTACTGCACAGCACTGGAAGAGGAGGAGAAAAAAGAGCTCAGAGCCTTCAGCCAGCAGCGCAAACGGGAGAATCTGGGGCGTGGCACTGTGCGCATCTTCCCAGTGACCATTACTGGGGCCATCTGTGAAGAGGTGAGTCATGGAGGGCCTCGGGGAGTGAGCAGTGCTTTTGCTCCAAGCCCTGAGGGTGCAGGGCCCATCTCCCAGGCTCTGGAAAGATGAGGCCTGCCATTTAAGCCCTAGTGGTCACCTCTGGTGGAGGGGCTCTTTTCCTCACATCTCACTGTTAGGCAAAGATGGTTTCTAAGGCCTCCCTGGTCAACGTTGTCTGTGTATAGGGCCCCCTGGTGGATGGGGCCTGTCCATCAGATCCCACTGTTAAATGCCATCTGTCTCTAAGGAGATTCTAATGGGCCTTCTCTATTAGTTTCCTGCCTTCCCTACAATGGACATGGGGCATGGCTGTCTCTCTGGTCCTCTTGTGATCAAAACTTGTCCTTAAGAACCCACCCACAGTTGCAAGGCCTGTCTCTAGACCCTGGCAGCAGGTGGAATTTGTCTCCCTCCCCCACCCCCCGTGGGTGGAGCCTGACTTTAGATCCTACTGTTAGGTGAGGTCTGTCACTAAGGTTCCCCCAGTGGGCCCTACCTGTCTCTGATTTCCCCAACCCCCGAGGGCAAGACTAGCCTATTAGGCCCCCCATGATGTGAAGGGCCTGTCTCTATGGTTTCCCACAGGAGCAGGGCCATTCTAAGGTGCTCCCCCCATCCCACCGTAGGCAGTACCTGTCTCAAATTTACCCAGTGGGTGAGGCCAGTCACAAAGGTCTGCTATGGAGAAGGCCCAAGTATGACACACTCCTTGACTGATCCCCATCCACCTAACCATCTTGGTAAGGGTGACGGTGTCTATTTGTCATCTGGTAGTGCGGGAAGCAGATTGGAGGCGGAGATATTGCAGTGTTTGCCAGCCGCGCAGGCCTGGGTGCCTGCTGGCACCCCCAGTGCTTTGTGTGTTCCACATGCCGGGAGCTGCTGGTGGACCTCATCTACTTCTACCATGCTGGCAAGGTCTACTGTGGTCGCCACCATGCCGAGCGCCTGCGCCCACGCTGCCAAGCCTGTGATGAGGTTTGTGCCTCTCTGCCCAGGGGTAGGAGTGGTGGGTGGGCAGGGCCAGGGGCAAGCCTCGCTGACGGCCACAGATGGCCTGCACCCCCCAGATCATCTTCTCTCCTGAGTGCACGGAGGCCGAGGGCCGGCACTGGCACATGGGTCACTTCTGCTGCTTCGAGTGTGAAGCATCGCTAGGAGGGCAGCGCTATGTCATGCGTCAGAGCCGCCCCCACTGCTGTGCCTGCTACGAGGCTCGTCACGCGGAATACTGTGATGGCTGTGGGGAGCACATTGGTAGGTGAACATGGCACTGGACAGAGGATGGAGGGACAGCTGGGCCACAGCCCACCCCTAGATTCCTCCTGTCTTCTAGGCCCCATCCATGGTTATCCCCCATACTTTTGGTCTAGCCCCAGTATCATACACCTACACCCTTCACTGCAAGTCCCATCACCAATATCCCCCATTCTGCCATACTTTCTAAACCCCACCTACACAGCACTAGGCACCACTACACATTTAGGTCTACCTCCAGAGTGCCCTCTAATTCCCAGCCCCCCAGGGCTACCGTCTCAGCCTAGCCCCTATGCCCCAAGCCAAACCCTATTCTCTAAGACTCTCCTCCATCAGCCTAGGACCTAGGCCCTCGGTACATCATACTTTCTAAGCCACACCCTACCCTCTAAGCTCAACTCCTTTCCCTCCAAGGCCTGACCCTACCTTCTAAGCCCTTCCCCCACCACCCAGGCCTCTTCTTCAGGTCCACCTTTCACTCTCTTACCTGAAGCCACCTCTTAATGTCTAAGCCTGACCCACATCTTAGTGTCCAATGCCCACCCGCTACTCTGGGAGGGAGCACCCTGGGAAAGAAAGGGAGGGAGAGGAAGACACATTTATCAGCCAGTTTCCAGGAGAGGATAAGGAACCCTGGGATGAGGATCAAACCTCAGGTTTCCTGCTTCCTCCAGAGAAGGGCCCCATTTTGGAGAGGTGGGGGAGAGGGCGTCTCAGGGTACCCTGTCTCAGATTCCTCATTTCTTCAAGAGAAGAGCCCCATTCAGGAAGGGTGGGGACATGCCTGGGGGCTCTGCCTTAGTTTTCCCCCTTACATCGTCTCTGCAGGCCTGGATCAGGGCCAGATGGCTTATGAGGGCCAGCATTGGCATGCCTCAGACCGCTGCTTCTGCTGTAGTCGCTGCGGGCGAGCCCTACTGGGCCGCCCCTTCCTGCCACGCCGTGGCCTAATCTTCTGCTCGCGAGCCTGCAGCCTGGGGTCCGAGCCCACGGCTCCGGGGCCGGGCCGCCGCAGCTGGAGCGCGGGTACAGTCCCCCCACCACTCGCAGCCTCCACAGCCTCTTTCTCTGCTGTGGAGGGGGCATCTGAGACCTCCACCAAAGGCTCCAGCACCGAGTCAGCGCCTGGTGAGTTCACCTTCAAATCACGCCCAGCCAGCCACTCTGCGTCAGTCCCCAATCCGGGCCCCTCTCAGTGACTCGCCCAGGCCTTTCACCTGCGGCATTCTTGGCAACGTCCCCAAATCATTCCAAGCTTAGTCTCCACCCAAACTACACCCCCTCATAAACCCTGGTTCTGCCCCGCTTCTGTACAAGGCCCTCCTCTACCTCAGCTTGTACCTGCTTGAGCCCAAGTTCCTCCTCCTTTCCTCCCAACCCTTGACACTCCACCCTATCACAAACCTAATCGGCTCCAGCCTGTGCCACGCCCCTTCCATCGGAAGCCACGCCCCCATGCGCCAATTCCATCCTGCTGCTGGGTTCCAATCTCCCTCTCCCCACTTCCACTCAGAGCCTGTCCTGGGCCTCATATTTCCCGGACTCCCCACTTCACTGCCCCTGTCCGACCTCTGCCCCATTTTCCCAGCCCTGGGGAAAAGGAGAAGGCCCTTGCAACAGGCCTCCCCTGGGGACAGGGGCAGATACAGGGACTCTTTCCATCTCTCCAGCTGCAGGCGAGGAGCCCACCCGCTTTCTGAGAGGGGCCCCTCACCGCCACTCCATGCCCGAGCTGGGGCTCCGCAACGCCTCTGAGCCACCCCCAGGGACCTCGGGCCAGCCGGACCCAGAAGATGGTGCCTTCGGTCGTCAGAGCGCCCCGCGTGTCAGCTTCCGGGATCCCCTGGTGTGTGAGGGAGGCCCGCGGCGGACCCTGAGTGCACCCCCAGCCCAGCGCCGCAGGCCTCGCAGCCCCCCTCCCAGGGCCCCCACATGTCAGCGCCGCCGCCGCTGCCACCATCGCCGCCGAGGTCGCCACCATCAGTGTGACTTGGGATCAGGGTCGGACTCAGAATCTTGCTCCAGCTTGCCCTCCAGCTCTAGTTCAGATTCCTCAGAGGATGATGGCTTCTTCCTAGGGGAACGCATCCCACTGCCCCCGCACCTGTGCAGGCCAGTGCCTGCTCAGGACACTGTAACAGAGAATCCCAACTCCCCATCTCCACCGCCCCATGTGAGCTCATGCCCAGGGATGCCTCGCCAGTCCAGAGACAAGAACTGCATCGTGGCCTGAAGGCGAAGCAGTCCTGGGGAGGGGGAGCTCCATTCTCAAGTCAGCGTAGCTGGTGACCTATCCCTCAACATAAGTCATAAATCCCCTTCCTTACTCCCTCCTTTGTTTGTACTATTGAAGTAATTTAACATATGGTGTAAAACAGGCCTGGTGGCCTTTCTCCAGCTGCCCCCACTTCCCAATTTTTCCCCTCCTGATGCTTGAGATTTATTCACATTTGATCAAAAGATTAATTTATTCATTATATATTCCAACAATGTTTATTATTTGTTTATACTTATCCCTCCACATAATTGCCCCCCACAGTGAGGTTATTTGGAGTGGGTCACAACCTGGGGCCTGGAGTCTGAAATCTGAAGCACCCTTCTCCCTCATTTTGTGGCTTAGGTGGGGCATAGTCCATGCAGAACTGGTGTCTCATTTTGGATACTGCAGAAGTGGGTCCTAGGCACACCCAAAAAGGCGGCCACACCTAGGAGGGTTCATTGGCAGGCTGGAAGACAAATTCTCCCAATAAAGGCACTTTTACCTCAATAGGGGGCAGGGTGTTGGCTAGGAGTGTTTTAGGGGCGGGGAGGAGTCATTTCAATGGAGGTGTTATTTGCAGGTTGCAGAGAGAAACGAAGAGAGTTCACCTACACCTTATACCGGGCCATCTGCAGGGTCTGCAAGTGAGGAAAGAAAAAGCATTGGTTGGATCCATATGCCCATTTTATAGCCAAGAATACTGAAGCTTATAGTACTTATTGGCACATAAGCACCAACAAGGGACAGAGCTTGCATTCATGACCTTGCGAGATCCCTTTACTTCTCAGCCCCCTCAGTAACACCTCCCTACACACACACACTTACCAGTAGGGGTTGCTGTATGTCTTTGCTGCCTCAAGGGGAAGGTGACATAGGCATCAAAACCAAAAAGGCACGTAGCGATGAGGCCCAGTACCTGGGGGTGAGAGTGGGAGTGGGGTGGATTAGGCTGGTCAGCCTACTCAGCCTCATACCTCCTTGTATCCACCACCTCCAGTGACTGTTCCATGCAGGGAAGGTGACCCAAACCCCAGGCTGAGAAGCCAGAGCCCTAGGGAAAGGCCAGGAAACTGGACACTACCCCCACCTTCACTCCTCCTGGTGCCACTCAACACAGGGTGGCCACATGGTGGCCCCACATATAGGTGGCACCATTCACAGTATACATTTGAGACAAAGTTCTAGCAGATAGCAGCCTAGTGTGTTGAGAAAGTGACAAAGGTCACACAAGTGATGGCCTTTTACAGCAAATGGTCTTGGAAGGAAAACCAGGACCTGGGTCAGACTTTCCTACAAGCCCTGAGGACAAGTGTGGCCTGCTGTGGGTCCCACACTTTCTGCGAAACCCCCCTCTCTGCGCTTTGGAGGTGCCTCCATGGCCTTTACCCCTGCGATGATTTTGGAGTGATTTCCTCTCTCAACAAGGACAACAATGGAGGTGATCAGGTAGAGGATGGCTGCTATGAGGGTTCGGAAGAAATCCTGTAAAGGGTAGGGAGAAGAGGGAAGTCAGCGAGCATTCAGAGTTCCCGGACAATTCCAAGTACCTGGGCCCTTCCCTAGCATTGCCATTTCTGGCCCCTTTCTCACACTCCAAGGCCAGTTGATGATCTGTATCTTGGTGTGCAGGTCACACATATAGATGACAAAGAAGATAGCAGCAAGGATCATCTCAACCACCGACAGAGAGGAGTATGCTGAGGTGGAGGCACTGAAGCAAATCAGAATCACCAGGCACAGGATCTGGAAGGATGACATGAGGAAGGGGGCCTCCATCAACTGCTGGGGCTGAGGGGATGGGTTGAAATCAGGGGACTCAAACTCAGATGCCTACCAGGACTGGGAAGATGACAATCATAGCTAAACACTTATTGTGTGCTGTGTTCCAAATATTGTTCTAAGAGCTGGACAAGTATTAATTCACTTAATCATCACAACAACCCAATGAGCTGGGTACTGTTATTAGTATCTTTATTTTTATAGATGAGAAAAGTGAGACAGAGACATTAAGTGACTTGCCCAGGGTCACCCAGCTAGTAAAGGGTAGAGTTGGGCATCTCCGGTTCCCCCTTTTTCCCTTCTAAGATAGGGGTGGCCTGCGGGGAGTGGCCCAGCCAGGTGTTTTACGAGCACTGCTAGAGCCAGCTTGGGGCCTTGACAGGGCGGGACGTGCGGTTCCCCTGGCAACCCCTTTGGGAAGCGGTGAGAGTGACACCCGAGGGGCAGGACTCCGGTTAAAGGCACCTCACCCCTTTTCAAGTGACTCAAAGGCGGCTCCCACTTTGAGTGGGGCAGGAAACCGAGGTTCCGCAGCAGGCGAATAGCTACGGACCTCCCACCCCACCACAGCAGGGCGAGGATGAACTGGAGAACAGCGGGGCACCCTACCCCGCGGGACTAGCGCGCGGGGCTCCTCCCCAACAGGCCCCACCCCTGAGCGAGCCGCCAGCCTGCCCAACAGTGCCCAGGCCGTACCACGCCCTGCCACAGGAGGCCCCCACCTCCCAGGCCCCTGAGACCCCTTTGGTGAGTCCACCAATCAGTCCAAGAGGTCTCCCTCCACGCGCCCGCCCCGTAGGCTCCATGGACCCCTGGCCTCACCCCGTGGCCCAGCCCCTCGCGACCACCTTCTGCAAACCCCACTGACTCGCCCTGCGCCCCTGGTTTCGGGCCTCAGACAACTAACCCACCCACCCCCACCCCACGGCTCACAGCCCCCCGCCACGTGCCTGCTTCACCGGGAGGCTTCTGGCTCTGAGTGGTCCAGCCACCCCACCTTGTCTTTGCCCACCCGCCTGTCCCAGGACGCTCACAATCTCAGCAAACAGAAGAATTCCCTTGGGGGTGCGCCAGAAGTTGGTGCAGGCAACCCAGCAGCCAGGGGCCGAAAGGCGCTCGGAATCCGCCATGGCGTGGGCTGGAGTCCCTACGGGCACGGAGGATCTGCTTGCTTGCTCGCAGGTTCGAAGACACTGCACACCCAGCCGTCTTGCCCGCCGTCTGGCCGGGAAGGGGGCCCCGGGGCGAAGGAGGCAGTGAATCACCGCGCAGAGCACAAGCGGGCGGGGCGGGAGGGGGGCGGGCCAGGTGGCTGCCGCCCCGGAAGCCCCCTCGCCCCGCCCACCCTGGATACTTCCCACCGGGGCGCTCCATCTCTGGGGACGCTAGCCTCTGAGGCTTGGCAGTTCGGGGTACCTTGAGCCGTAATGGCGAGATACTTTGCCCTTTTCGAATGCGAATGCTCCTGGGGCTGCCGCAACTCAGAACCGTGGGGAGCTGCCTTTCGGAAGGAGTGACTCAGTTTCCTTACTTGTAAAAATGGTTGAGGCCCTGGTGAATCCCAGCTATGTTTCCAGAATTATAAATATTTCAAATTTTAGAAAGTTTTACCCGCGCATATATGGTATATTACTTAACACTTTCAGTGGGGTCTGAGGCTGGCCTGTTTAAAAACAACAACAACAACAAAACCATTAATATTTCCTCAAGCGAAGGTGTGGATATTCATAATAGGTGGGATAAGCCAGGAATGAAAATTTTGCCTTATTAAGTCAGGTCAGGTTTTGTAACCAAATGGTGCCAACTTGTGGGAAAACGGTTGGTTTCTGGAGCTTCTGGGACTTTGGAATTGTGGATAAAGGATTGTGGACCATAGAATAAACCTCTTAGCAGTGATGGGAATGAGATCGTGGCAGTGCACACAGGCTGAGAGAGAACAGGGCCTAGTGAGCATCAAGCTGCTCAGTAAATGGGGGCTGACATTATGAATAGTGTCAGAGCCCAGGGTCTGCAGTCCTAGGGAAGTTGTGGCCCTGAGTGCTGGGCCTCCATTTTCTGGTTCTAAGGAGGAGCTGTTAGCCCAGCCCTAGATGAAGAATGGAGAAGGAACACGGGTCTTATCGCTGGGAGTTTGGCAAGATGAGGGTCAGGCTCATTGGGTGCCAGTCTAGGCAACAAGGCTGACAATATTTGGAGAGTGTGTTACCCTGAGCAAGTAACTTCTGACAGCCTGGATTTCTGCATGTGAGACAGGCACCTGGTCACTGGAATCTGACTCTCCCCTAAGATGTGTTGCAGAGCATGCTCTCTAGACTGGACATTGGTTTTATTCTCATCTCATTTGAGGAGGGGAGAGTAGTGGCTGGAAGGCCAGGATGGTTCAACCAAAGGGCCTGTCTGCTCTCCACCCCCCAGCTTGGGGCCCCTCGAAACCAAGGAAGGGGCTCCCCTTTTTCAGCCCAGTGAAAGAGTGGTTGGATAATGGAACGGGTGAAACATACTTTTCCCAGTGCTAAGTGTGTGCTTTCCAAGTCTCTGAGGACATGTCTGAGTTTCTAGAACACAACAAAATCTGCTCTGCCTCAGAATCTTTGCACTTGCTGTTCCCACTGCTGTCAGTGCCCTTCCTCCAGCTCTTTATGTATCTGGCTTCTGGTCATTCAGGTCTCTGCTCAAATGTTGTCTTCAAAGAAGCAAGCAGCCCACCATCATTACTTCCCCCAACATAACCTCCTTTTACTGTCTTCATAACTCTCACTTCTCTCTGAAATTATTCCTTACCAACATGTCAGTACATCAGCTACACAAGGATAGAAATCTTTGTTTTGTTGCCCCCTAGAATCTATCCAGCACAGTGCAAGGTAAAGAGTTGAAGTTCAATTAATACTTGTCAAATGCAGGTGAGATTTAGGCTTAGAAATCAGGCCTTGATTAAATTTTGCTTCGCGCCACCCCCCCCCAGCTATATATACTCTTTGGGCATCACTTTCCTCCTTTGTGAAATGGACATATCAGGATTATTGAGTAGATGTGTAAACAGATGAAAATAGACAGTGCAAGTGAAGCCAGTAGCAGGGATAAGGCTAAGTAAATGGTGGCTGTAGTTACTATTCTTAGTCTCCTGGGTGTGAGTGTGTTTATAGGACTGGGGCTCTGGAGCCCTTTCCTGACTTCCATAGAGCCACACCTTCACCAGCCTCTGAGTCAGGGACAGCACAGTCACCCACAATGTCTACAGCACTAAGCATTCAACGGTTCACCTCTTTATACCCCAACTCCTAGCCTGGCTTTTCAGTCCTCCTCTTCTTCCCAGTTCCACCTTGGACACTCACACTCGGGTCCTTTAATTTCTCTCCCCACTCCTGGCTGCTACCCATACGGGTGAAAATTGCCCACTCCCTCCTGACCACAGCTTCCGTCGTTGGGGGGGATGGGGCCATGTGTTCAGGATGTGGTGACAACGGAGGTGACTGGACATTTCTGGCCTGGGCCAGCACTGGTTTTGGGGATACCCTGCTTGGAGTCCCGCTGGCTATATAAGCTCCCGGCTTTAGGGCTCTGTTCCCAGGATGGAGGAAACTCTGGCCTCTCCCAGGACCGGGAACGCCCAGTGGGTGGCGTGTGCACACAAGCCCACAGCAGTTTGTCACCATCTATGGAAGAGGGAGGGGGGCACCGCCCAAAGGTTCTAACCGCCTTTTTAGCCGGGACCGCTGACTCACACCTTCCCAGCTCCACCACAAAGGGGGCTCCAGGGCCTCAGCCCATGCCCTTAGGGTGTCAGTCTATACAGGGCAGCGAAAGCTGACCAACCAGGCCGGAAGTGAGAGACTGCAGGCTCCCGACAAAGGAAGCCACAGGACTTCTAGCCTTGCTATTCGGCGGGCAGCCGAGGGTCTGGATGATTCCGGGCCAGGGCTGTGGGTATACTGGTGCGCTCTCGCCACGGCAGGCCCACTTCTGCATTCCCCACGCCACGCGCAATAATGTTACCCCTGTACACCTCCAAAAAAGTGAAATGAATTAATGGGTTGAGAAGCGGGAGTTGGCAAAGAGAAACGGAGTGGGGAGAAAGCACAGCAGGCTGAGGACCAGCAGACGCAGACCCTTCTAGAGGCATGAAAGAAAAAGCACTTGACAGTGTGGTTGCCAGAAGAGGCCCTCCTTCAAACCGGATCAACCCACCCCCTCCTTTACTGGGTGGACTCGGGAGCCCCACCCAGACTAGAGCACCTGGCAAGTCAAGACGGGATCGGACCATTTTATTACCTCACCCGCCCGAAACAAGAAGTGCAGGCTGGCGAGTCAGGGAGGGCTGTACCACTGACGCCGCAAGGGGAGCACGGGCTGGTCGACTGCGCAGTAGGAGGGGGGACTAGGCCAAGTGGTAGTTCTGCCTGCGATGCTAGTGCGCGGCTGGCAGAGCACACCAGATAGATCCAGGTGGGACACTACCAAGTGAGCATCCAGCCATCAGACGGTGTTCAGTGCCTCCGCCTTCCAGCTGCCGTCTCCAGGGCGAGCTGCGCGGCCCCGGGGACCCCTAGTGCCCGTGAAAGCCGTTCCTCACTCGGCACCAGCCAGGGTCCCGGGGAGCCCGGGGTTCGGTGGTCTGGGTCCTCCATGCGGCGCTCAGGAGGAGGAACCGTGGGGCCATCCGCTGACCCCTCTGGTCTAGGTGCTGGGTTTCCCCCTGTTTTGGGCATCGTAGATTGAGGGTGCCAAAATGGGGAAGCGCTGGCGCTACGAGACCTCATCACCTCTGGTCCCCCAGAATCTGGGCTGCCACCTGGGGATGGTAGGACTGAAAGTTAGATCGGGCAATAGGATCGGGATCTGAGAGCTAGGCTCCTTGGCCAAAGGTGGCCAGGAGACTCCAAGGGCTGAGGAAGACAGAAACACCAATCCTTAGAGAAACCTCGCATCAAGGCCTGGACACGCTTTTCAGAAACCGACACCACCCCTCCTGACCCCCCCTTACACACACACACACACACACACACACACACACACACACACACACACACACACACACACACACACACACACACACACACACACACACACACGCACACTCCCTTTTCTGAGACCACACCCCTTCTGGATCTAGAACATGCCCCTCAGAAATCATTTCTCACAATCCCCAAAGGAAATCAAACCCTGACCCTCTAGATGCGAAACCCCTCCAATCTAGATCCTTCAACTCTCCCTTTGCTCAACCCTCTGCTCCCAACCCTTTCCCTTATGGACCCCTTGTCTTTAGAAACTAGACCCCCTACCCCCTGCATCCCAGCCCCATCCCCTCCCTGCTGAGACCCTCCATCTTCCCCTCCATGACCCTTCCTTATCAATACCTGTTTTTATACCAGACCCTTTCCTTCATCTTCCCTCCTAGTACTTTGAAAGCCTCCTCTTTGAAATCCACCCTGCCCTCCCCCAGTTTTAAGAATGCCATGATGCCCTCACAGACACTGAACCCCCGACCCTCCCCACTAAGACCAACCAACCTCTCCAGTCCGGGACTCTCTCCTTCCCTCACAGATCCCAGGCCCCTCTCCTATGGAAAACTCATCATGTCCTTACTGGGGCCTCCCACCCTGCCCTCTCAGACTTGCCTGGGTGGGTTCCAAGAGGCCTGCTTAGCACGAGACGGAGCCGGGGGCCGCCTGTGCGAATCCGCTCCACTACCTGGTCATGGGTGAGGCCCTGAGTTGACTCTCCGTTGATGTGGAGCACGAGGTCACCGACCTGCAACAGTGCAAGGTGAGAGGTGTTGTAAGAAGGGCAAATGGAGAGCACTGGACAAAAAGGATGAGGGGAAGGCTATAACGCCATGGAATGGAGAATGCCTTGTGGCTCACCTGCAAGCGACCACAACGTTGTGCTGGCCCGTCCTTCAGCAGCCGGCGTACTGCCAGTGGAGCGTTGCCAACTGCATCTCGGCCTCCACTTAATGTGAGGCCAAAGCCTGCAGAACCACGAACCAGCTCCACATAGAACCGACCAGAGGCCTCGGGCAGCTTCGAACCACAGCGTGCCTTAACCTGAGTCACTTGTGGTGGTGCAGTACACGTACCCAAGGTCTCTGACCGATGATGCTGGAGTAAGGACATGAGTGTACATACATTGCCAGTCTTGAGGCACTTGGCCTCGATTAGTAGGGCGAAGTGGTACCTGAGGCCGGTGTTCCAATACGGTGGGATTAGGCAGGCGACTGTCCGTGACCTCTATGTCTGCAGAATCCAGCTCACTACCGGCTGGAGGATGAAAGAGAGGGTCAGGGTCGAATTCCATGTAAACTACCTATGTCCTGTCCCTTGAGTTGTCATTCTAGCCTCTTCTCATTGCCTTGCTTCTAGATTCCACAGAAATATCGCCCACACTCATTTTAATAGCCTCCTCACACTCAAATAACTGTCCTTATCCCTCCTTCTTAAATAATAATCCTGGGACCGGCTATTTGAATCATCCTC